AGTGCATTTTTGTTTTCATTTGTCTGAAAGTATTTCCTAATTTTCCTTGTGTTTTTTGTTTGATTCACTCTTTGTTTAGAGGTGTGTTGCTTAATTTCCACATATTTGTGAATTTTTCAGAATTCCTTGTTATTGATTTCTAATTTCATGCCATTGTGGTCAGAAAACATTTTGCATGATTTCAGTCCTTTTAAATTTACTGAGGCTTGTTTAATGGCCTAACATATAGTTTATGCTGGAGAATGTTTCATGTATACTTGAAAAGAATGTGAATTTGGCTGTTGTTGTGTGTAGTGTTCTATAGATGACGATTAAGTCTTGCTGGTTTATTGTACTGTTCATGTCTTCTATTTCCTCATTTGTCACCTGTCTAGTTGTTCTACCCAGTACTGGAAGTAGAGTACTTATGTGCTACAACTATGATTGCTGAATTGTCTATTTCTGCCTTCTTGTTTCATGTACTGTGGGGCTCTGCTAAGTGCATACATATTTATAATTGTTATGTCTTCTTTATGGCTTGACCCTTTATCATCATATTTATCTCATAATTTTTGTCTTAAAGTCTATTTTATCTGATATTAGCATAACCACTCCAGCTCTCTTTTGGATACTGTCTACATGGTTTATCTTTTATTTTTTGTCTTTCATTCTAAAGTATGCCTCTTGTAAACAGCATATAGTTGGACCATCACTGAAATTTTACATAATAAAGTTTTAAATAAGGCCAAAATACATAGAAAGACATACCCTCTTTTGAAACTGAAGAAACTACTGTAAAGACTAAAATATTCAAGAATTGCCAATAAATTTTTTTTAATGGCAAAGAAAAATTTGTTCCACCAGATATCACAAAAAGATGTGTGTGTGTGTGTAGCACTTTAAATCAATGGGGAAAAAAATGGATCTTTTTCAATGAAAGGTATTAGGACAAGTGGCTTTCATTAGGAAGAAAATAAAATTAGATTATCTCCTAGACTCCAAACTAAGCTCCCGTTGCATTATATGAAAATCAAAATTACTAAAACATGATAGAAAAACATAATAGTGGGATGGGGAAGACTTTTCTAGGCAATACATAAAAGCCAGTTTTTAAAATTTCTATACAACGAAAGATACCATAAGCAAACTTAATGTAAATTAACTAATGCAATTAAAGCCTTTGGCTTAAATATAGAGTAAATGAGTGAATTCACTTCCGGTCCATCATTTGAAAGTCCACCATCAAGAAAGTCAATTAACCTACCGAAACAACCAGTTTGGGATTTTTTTTAAACACTTGAAAAATGAGGATAATAATTCCAACTTCACAAGCTGTTTTAACAGTTAGATGAGAGAGTAGCTATAAAAACATCTACTATGAGGTCAGGCACATTACAAAAGCTTGTCTTTATTTCAACTTTGCATTAAATGAAGAATGGGAAGCTGCAAGGAGGAATATCAGGATTCCTGTATTTTGGTTCATAATAAAATTACTTTATAATTCCATTCTACCACTTCTAAAATAAAAACACATTTCCCCTTATCCCTTGCCCACTGTATAATGTGATGTATAAGGTGTCAGTTGTTAAGTTTATCTGTTCCAAAGATGGAAGGTAAAGTGACAAACAGCCAGGATTGGCACCAGCTTAATAGCAAAACATAACCAAGGTGTATACAGTAATCACATTTTATTCCAATATCTTTCACCCATTAAAACCTTTCACCCACAAACGTCTTTTTTTTTAAAGATTTTATTCTAAGTTATTGAACAAGAATCATAACAGAAATAAAATCTATAAATGAAAAATCTTTGGGATGGTGTACAATAGACATTGTTAAAGGATTAAAAAAATAATGGTATCAAATAAAAACTGAGTGTTTGACAGCTTACTAAGGCCAATATTTTTATACAGGGCAAAAGTCTTTCACAATTCAGAAAGATTTAATTCAGCTTTTTATTTTAAACAAAATATTCACTTCCTGAGTGAAACAGAATATAAAGTTTTATAAAATCCTAAAGAGCTACTACACATAACTAATATACTTTAGGGCCCAGACAAATTTAAACTTCTGAAACAAATGATGGTCAACATGTAAAATTTCTACTCAAAAAAAAAAAGTACATTTAGACACATTTACAGTCTTGTAAATTTTTAGATAAACAAGATTTTGACCTTTAAGCTGATTTTAGACTGGTGTTTGAAAAACTAAAAAGGAAACCCAAAATTACACAATGAAATATGCCCTCCAATCTAAAAAACAACAAAAAATGTTCATTGGAATGTAAAAGTAACCATTGACTATTCAAATTACTAAAGACAATGTTGCAACTGCAAAATCCTTCTCTCCTTTCAACCAGTCCACCTATATTTTCCTCATCCATTTAACAGGAAAATGAATGTTTAAAGCTTGAACAGTGGTGAGATTTTTCTTCAGCAAGATCTGACTTTTGTATTAATTTTACAGCACCCAAGGCAGTTATATATATGCTGGACTTAAATGCCACAAGATTCATTTGTGAAGGAAAAAAAAATGGAATTAGTTTAAAGACAGCACAATAGATCAGGACACTACAAGAGCAGCTGTCATGCTATCAAAAAACAAGCAGACCTCACAAATTTTCTGTTTTCATCTGAGTTTCAACATATCACTCATGACATGCACAATACTCTTATAAGTCAAGTTTCTCTTGTACATATAGCATGTGAATAAAGACTTCTGAAATATTCTTTTCGAATGCTACAAAATCTACATAATAGGATTATAAAATAACTGTAAAAATTAGGAAAGTAAATAATGAAACTTCTGTTTCTTGGCATTCTTCCCTCTATTGAAAATCTAATCTAGGTCCCAAAAATGTATACAAGATGTTGGAGTTCTTGAAATCTTGGTATCTCTTCCCAATTTGCAGCCAACAATAATTGGAATACTGGAAACAATACTTGAAAATCTCTAATATCTTTATTTTGCATTTATTTATCTTCTTTAGAGATGGGGTTCCACTGTTGCCCAGGCTGGAGTGCAGTGGCTATTCACAGGCACCATCATAACACTCACCAGCCTCAAACTCCTGGGCTCAAGCAAGCAATCCTCTGGCCTCAGTCTCTGGAGTAACTGGAATTACAGGATTACACCACTGTGCCTGGCTGAAAATCTCTAATACCTTAACTAAAATAGAACATTCAAATTTAACAAAAGTTCACTATAATATTCCATACAACTTAATCAGTATCCTGCCCTCATTTTATATTCAATGATTCCTTTATTTCAAAAACAAAGACATCACATGGTTTGTGACCAACACCAGCAGCTAGAAGTACTTCCAAATTACTTCTCTCAACTTGTTTTTTAAAAAAACAAATTTAAAATGTGAAACAAAGGGAGCACAAAGTTACATTCTTTATGAGAAAAATGCCATGATTATTTTATTTAAAAAAATAGCTGATTCACATTAATAAAAATTTCACAAAAAGCAGAACTTTCTAAGGTACACTTTAAAAATTACTTCATTTGCTACACTGTCCTGGAAAGTAACAAGCAAGGCTGTCCTAGACAATCTCTGTGTGTCTCCTGAGTCCTTCAATTTACACGGAACATAAAAATTTCAAAAACGAATGGCAACAACAGCAATCAAACCAAGTGCAGTTTTTTTACAAGCAATAGCCCTAAGCTCCGAATAAAATTAACACCCAAATAAGATAAACGGACAAAGACAAAAAAAAAAGTGTTCGTAAATTTTCTCTAAGGAGTTCCTTAGTTTTACTATTCTTTTCCTTGCTTTTCACTGAAAGGAGAATGGGAAATCAAATTAACAGTGATAAGATGAGAATAGTTAGTTCCCAGTCAGAAGATGCAAGAATTTACAGTCTAGCCTTGGCCCAGAGATCAGCGGGCGGACACAGACCAACCAATGCTCAGAGGAAGCTTTCAAGAAATGTCACTATCTAACGGAAGTTTTAAGGCCATATTTTTTTAAGGCCTAAGGCCAGTCTTGTAAATACACTGTAAAATACAACCTATGAAAACTCCATTCTCCAAAACAATTCAAGAGTTTCCTACGATGCTCTAAACGGACACCCTCAGGACCGCCGCCTCTCACATGGAAAGAAGGCCAGCCCGTGTGAATCGGAGTGCCCCCACGTCGGTTTGTGTGACAGATCCACTGGGAGCATCCGACTGTGATCGCGGCCCTCCAGGGCAGAGGCTGCTGGAAGACGAACATAAATGTAATCTTCATGACCCTCCTACTTCCGTTCTCAAAACAGAAATGCACTGTTTCTCCTAGTCCTCACTCCTCAGCCCAGTACCTCTCGACAGTCATGCCCCCTTCAAAGAGCTTAAGTGGAAAGAAAAAGCAGATAATCACGAACCGGGGTCGATGGAATGCGGTTGGTCAAAGCACCTCCACCCCTGACTCCGGTACGAATCAATCCCAGTTCCCTCTTGAGAGTCCCTCTGGCAGGGGACACGAAGAAGCAGAAGTCGACGTTCCAGTTCGCCCCCTACTCCTTCCTCCCCCGAGTAAGGGGAGCGGAAAAGCGCAAAGAGGAACTAAGCGAACTGCAAGAGGATGCCCTGAAAGCTCCTCAAAGGGCGGTGGGGAGGGGGTGGAAACCAAGAAGGAGCGGAAGGAAGAGGAAAGGAAGAGCAGCAAGAAGAGGAAGGGGGCGAGAGCGCGCGCCTGCAAAGGGGACGAGACTTCGGGAACGCATCTGCACCCCGTTTCCTCCAAGCCGGAGCGGGTGCGCCCGGCCTCCGGGGTGCTGCGCCCCGGGCAGGGGGCGAGGAAAAGGAATAAGGAGGCGGCGTTCCCCTCCCGGCCACAGCCTCTCCCCTCGGGAAGGGTCGGTCAGGGGCTGCAGTGCCCTCTCAGGGTCGCAAGCGGCGGCAACGGCTGCTCGCCCCGTCGGAAGGCGCGGACTGCGGGGCCCTCCCCCAGTTCCGCAGGGGCCGGATTCACGCCCCCACCGCAGGGGGAGGCAGCTCCGGGGTAACGCCGGTCAGGCGGCCGTGCCGGTTACCTGAAGCGGGGCGAGTCCTTCAGACACTCCTCGAAATCCACTGTCATCTTCATCCTGCCTCCGCCTAGCCTCGCAGGCGGCGCTGGAAGAGCCAAGGGGGCCGCGGGAGCGGCCGCGCTGGGGACCCAGACGGCTACGGCGGGCGCACGGCCGCGACTAGCGCTGTGCGGAGCTGCGGAGGGCGCCTCGCCCGCTGGTCATAGCAGCCGCCAACACAGCGACGGCTCGTCAGGCCCCAGTCCGGCCCCTCTTCTCCCGCCCCCAGCAGAGCGCTGGCCTCAGGGAAACGGCCGAGGAGTGACAGCCCTGGCCAGCCAGCCACGAACCCGGCGGCCAGTGGGCGGAGCTTCCGGCAGCACCGCCTGCGGGCGCTCGGGCAACGCGCCTGAGCGACGGCAGCCTAAGCCAATAAGCAGTGCGACCGTGGGCGCCGCCTTGCCACAACCACCCCCGAGGGCCAACCGGAATGTGCGGGCGTCGTTAGGCGGGACGCACCGGTTGCTGGGAGGCCGGGCGCTGAGGCTCCTTGGGAAGGAAGTCACATGACTGAGCGCCGCGCTTTCCTCCCAGCTCCCGCCTGTTCTCCGGCTTCCTCACCCCGCCCAGCTGAGCTGCCAGCGCAGAGGAACCTCCTCCTGCAGGTCTTAAGAAGGAAATTTGCTTTTTAAAGCCGCCGTGGCAGAAATCCGAAGGGTTAGGGGCAGAAATTATAAAAGGAAGAGATGAGCTAAACCACTGCTTCCTCGCAGTTTAGAGAAACTGAGGCCAGGAGAGGGGAGCGAGGGTAATTTTAATGATAAAATCCTTCATTCACTTATTGGTTTCATCGCTTAATAATTTGGAAATTGCTCCCATGTACATCTTTTCATATAACCAGAGACCACTTCCTGAAGGAACTGGCAGTTGGGATGGACATCGAAAGATCAGAAGGATTTAGACAGGTATGAGAGGTACGGCGTTTCGTGTGGAGGAACTGCTCTCAAAACCGCGGAAGACTTTCCTCCTAACTTGACTTTTCTCCCAGTAGTTTTCACCTCCTCTACGATGATGGGGTTCTGAAGACCAGGCACATTGTATTCCACCTTGCAACACCTGTCCCTCTGATCCATAATTTTTCTAGGAGCACTTTCATGTTTTTATCATCTGATCCTCACAATAACCCTACAACGCAGATATTTACCACACTCCTTGATTTTAAGATGCGTTCACTGTAAAAAGTACAAGGATACATTATATTCAAATGTATAGTTTTTAAACCAACCTAAAAAGCATCCATAAAAGTGTATATATAGGGTGCTCTAACAGCATAGTGACTCTGAGTGGGAATCTGGAGGCAAACTTACTGGATTTACATCCTACCTTTCTCACTTTAAAATGAAGATAACACCACTGATTTGATAGAGTTATCTGGTTAATACAGTGCCACACAGTAATCATAGTAACTGTTGGCAGTTATAATTGTACCACTTTCTTCAGTACCACAATCAAAGCTTAAGGCCTAAACCCTCTCACTTTCTGTCTAAAGTCTTTATATAACCTTTTGACCATCTGGCTAAGTATGGCATGATGGCATACAGGTTTTCATTAACCTATGGTTATATATTGATCTCTTTAGCACCTTTAGAATTTAACGGTAAAATTTTGATACATTTCAAAGAATATACAAGCATTATGTATGCTTCTTCCTTGGTTATAAACTTGATTTGTTAATTGAATTGCATATCACTAGAATCTACACAGCTTCTCTTGATAGCTAAAAACTATTGACTATTAAATGTTCAGTGTCCTCAAACACATTAGTGTGTCAGGACAACCTCTCCTAGCATTGTAACTTCAATGTCAAATTTACCAAGAGAGTTGGCAATTTCTGCTACATTTGGTTGCATTCCTGATGCATGACAACTAAGCTGCATACACTATAACTTATTGTTTCAAAGTTTCATCACAGTGTAGCCTTTTGGAAGACACCTAAGGTGACACTTTGGAGGTCAAATTAAAATTTAACTGCATGGCACCACAAATGTACATAACTCAGCTAATTATCAAATGAACATCTTTCTGTGGATGGCTAACTTTGCATATGCCCAGTTAGTGATAACACTGTCACAGTTTTTCTTCTTGCCCTGTGATAAAGCAAGCCTTTTGGGGTGTCAGTTGTAAGATATGTCCTAAATTAAGAAACTTTAAAAGTGGGGTGGGGTGGGAGCAGTGAGTCTTAGAATAGAAGAAATATAATATTATTATCTTTGTCTTATAATAATGGAAACTGAGGCCCCAAGATATAAAAATTTGTTACCAGGTGACTGAGGCCAAACACAGGCTCCATGACACCAGACCCTAAGTAGAAACTGCTCACCCTGCCCTTAAGAATTCTGCCTTTGCAGCTATGGCTCTACCTGCGTGGCAATCTCTCTTTCATCCCTTCTTTAAAACACAGCTCATATGCCATCTCCTTCGGGAAGCTTTCTCTGTTTGCTGAAATACAGACTTCTCTTTTCAACACATAATGAAAGTTAGTTATACCAGGCCCAGTCTACACTCTAAAAGGATATAAATTATCAAACCTTAAATGTTTCCCAAATTTCTTCTCCCCAGACTTCTCACTACCTCCCTACAAACTCTCTGAAACCCTGGATAGCCATAGATCTTTCTAGAATGCTTCTAATTTCCTCTAAGGATACTTTTGACCACACATCCTCTTGAGCAGAGGTTGTTCATTCTCTCCTCCCTGGTACTCCTAGGTCAGGATATATAGTCAGCAAGAGCCTAACCCTTAATGACTTACAATTTACATTTCATGTTCATGCAAGGATTTCTCCTTATTTGAGGCTAATGCCAACTGGCCATACAACTGTCTTAACTTTCCTCATTGCTATTACCCACCAATTTCCTAGTAACTCCCTGCCTCAGCCTGGCTAATTGCATTGCAGATTATCTCAAGAAAAGGGAGTTATGATGAGGGTAACTATGGGCACCCTCATTGGAACTGAGAAGGACAGAAACCCAGGTACCCTTGAGAACTGGTTTTCCTCACTTGACATCTGTATCCTCTTTCTTTCCTACTCCCCCACCCCCACCAAGTTTCCTCTCTGTTCTCTTATAGGTTCTGCTCCCTGTGAACCTAGCTTGCTTAGAATCTATCATTGCTACTGATTTCTTCCCCAGAGACCCAGCAGGTAATGGAAATGAATGAAGCTGGCCAGGTGTAAACAGTGTGGAGTGGTGGAGGAAGTGGAAAACAGAAAGCTTGTGCCCTGTGTACTGTTCAGCTCCAGTCAGTTTCTACCATGCCTGATCTTCAGATTTTTACAAAAGAAGCCAAATAGCCAGGATTTAATGTGAAATCTCCCCATTTTCAAATATTTGCAACCCTTTCAAAATATTAAACAGCATTGCACAAGTTATAAAAATAGTTTCAGAACCACTCTGCAACTTCTATACATTCCTTGGCAATTCTTCAGATACAGCCTTTCATCTTATGTTCCTGGTGTTAATCACTTCCGTCTGTTTCCCAAGTCTCAGATCTCAGGAGAAAATCACATTAGCCCAGATCATCTTTTCATGTCAGGCCACACAGGTCGTGGGTTCTTGGCAAGCCAATAGAGCGATGGAATCACTCAATCATTTGTACAGGGAGGAGGGTGGGAATGTGGGCTGCAGGACAGCTGACTGGTAGTCAAGGCATTTTCCCTAAAAGAGTATGTTGATGGCTCGGCCCTATGAAACACAGCTGGTAAACATTCACATTCATCCAGGACTTTGGCCCGTGACTCACAGTCCTCCACCCCAACTTCTGCCATCAGCTAAGGTGACCAGCATTCAATCATTCTTTCTTTCATTCAGTAATATCCATCGAACATGGTAATCTAGCCAGACCTTATAGTAGGCTCTGAGATTTACAGATGAAATGAACAATCTTTTCCCCCTAGAACTCTCAGAACATGATAAATTCTGTGCCAGGGTTATGCACAGGGGGCTACAAATACTCGGACAGACATTTCTCCTGGGAAAGGAAATAAGGTTCTCATATCTCTGCAGATACAAGGAATCTTGAAAAAGTAAGATCTAAGAAAAGGCAAAGAAGGTCTTTCCATGGACCTTTAGTCACCAGGAACTAACTGACTAAAGGACAGAAACAAGAGAAACACCTGGTCTTCAAGAGTTGTAAACAGAGCATATGGCTTTGGAAAAGAAGCAAGACATGAAGCTAGAGAGGTAAACAATAGCCAGATTACAAAGGACCTTGTTTGCCACACTAAAGAATGTGTATCTTAAAGATATGGGAAGCCAGGCCGGCGCGGTGGCTCACACCTGTAATCCTAGCACTCTGGGAGGCCGAGGCGGGC